TCTAAATTACACAAAAATGAAAATAACACTGATATTTTATTTTAACAGATATATTTACCAAAATTACACAAAAATATCTTAAAATACTAAAGAATAAAGTTATTCAATAAAATCACCATTGGCTTCAACCCCAGTCTCTGGATGACTTTGAAATCTCCTGCAACTCTTCTGGACAATCTTCTTGTTTAAGTTGGTGAATGTTGCCATAATCCTTGCCTTCAGTTCATCTTTGGTGTTACAAGGAGTTTTGTTGGTGCCTCGTTTAAGTGTACCCCACACATAATAATCAAAGGTGTTGCAGTTTGGGAAGTTAGGTTGCTAGATTTAAGAGGTGATGTGGTCATAGATATTGTCTGACAGCCATGACTGGCTTCTGCTTGTATGGTATGGTGCAGAGACCTGTTGCTAGATATATTGTCTTCCAACAGCCACACACTTGACCTAGGGCAACACTACCTCCTCAAGGCACTTGATGTAGGCCTCCATGTTGAGTCTCATGCCCTCATCGAAAAATTTGGGAATTCTTGGATTTTTTTTAGTATATATATTATACTTTTTTTTCCATATTTTTTTGCTACACATTTCAGATTTTGTGAATCTTTATCAGGCAAATATATATATATATATATATATATATATATATATATATATATATATATATATATATAAATGTAAATAGTATGCAGATATATATTAAGCATTTATAATTATACCAGTGACATAAGGTGACTTTTAAACCAGGGCATGCAGTCTGTTAAGCAGGTTAATTGCCAAGGTGGATAGGCAAAAGGTGAACCTTACTCTGAGCCCTTAGAAAATTATTTGCCACCCACCAAACATCTGTGAATGTGATATGAACTAATTTTAATGTGAGAAAATACACTTTTACCAACAGGGTCTTCTTCAGACTGGATACCATTCTCTACTGGACTTGATGCTCTTCTTATTAGTAATACCCTGGCAATGATGATGACCGCTATTAAGTATGAGAGAAAATAATAAAATCTAAAAATAATTTAAATCAATTCAATTCTTTGTTTCTTTTTGGCAAATTCATTGATTACTAAAACGTATCTGCACCACCCTCAACCTTCATCTTTTTCAAAAGGTCTTTATTCATGGAAATGAAAACTAAATAGCACTTCATATAATTATTTACACACTTTCATGAAGAAAATGATCTCTCACAGGAAGCAAATGTGGCAAGTGTGGTCAGAACCAGACGTAGACATTTTTATTTCAATTTTTTAAATAAGTTTCTCATTGATGACAGGTGTCAGAAAATGGTGTTGATTGATGGCTGGAAAAGTGAAAATTCGTAATTTTGACATAAACTAAATTAATATTGTTTTAATTACCCAAATGTTCTTTTAAGATAAAGTTCAACCTTCTTTAAAATAACACCAATATTAATGCATGAAATTTGAAATTAAATACTTTGAATTTAATTTTAAAATTAGGTATTACATTATTTTTTTTAAAAATGTCTTTTAACAAAATTTAACATTTAATGAAATAATATACAATACTATCAGTAATTTTTTTACATAACTTTACAAAATTTTTTTTAAACACTTAAGATTAAATTTTAAGGCATTGAAATGGATGAAAACTTTTAATCACAAAAATAAACTTTGCCTGTTGCTTCATTTCACTCCATGATGAACTGGTCAAAAACTTTCTGGGTATTGGTCACATGACTTAATCCCAGTCAAGAATACTCTCCATTGGTTAAAACTTTTGATGTGACACTAACATCATCAGACATTCCATACATGCTCTTCAGAATCGAATAATACAAATTTTCATATAAATCTGTCCAAGTATGTTCTTTGAATAGGCAAGTCTTTGATTTCATTTGCATGCAATTCAGTAGAGAGTGTCTGCTGGCTTAATATGGTGGGAAAGCAAGCAAAAGAATTTTTACTTTTCAGTAGCTTTCTCCCTGTGACCCTCCACTTTATTAATCTCTCTTTTTCATGCACCCAGCTTGAAGGGAATAATAAAACAAGGAAGGCTAAAGCCACAACCTTTTTTAATGCAAGCAAAATAATTTCTGCTTTTCAGTGACTGTCTCTTTTTCATCCACTCACTATTATGTTCTGTCTCTCATGCTACTTACTAAAAATGTTAGTAAATTAATTGCTTTTACTTGCATCTTTTCTCACTAAACAACAAGTGTTTTCTCTACTTACACTCTCTAAATACTATTGATTGTAACAATTATTTTAAGAAATGAAGAAATGGGAAATACAATAAAATACAAGTACAAAGATGATAGTGAAAATTATCAATAATTAATTTCATATTATACAAAATTATTTATCTTGGAAAAATGTAAAGTATGCAGTGCACATATTGCATACATAGACCATTTGCTGAATTATGCATCATTTTGTTACAGTAATTTTGTTAAGAAAGTTGAAATGGGGAAAAAACCTGGGCGTAGATTAATATTTGGGTAATTTTCTATGGCGGCACTCTCCAGAATTTTCCTTCTGAGTGAGTTATTTTCATTTTTTATGAGTGTAGCCTTTTTAAAATCAAAATTATGATTGAATTTATTTCTATGTATGACTAGTGCATTAGCTAAGTTGTTTTTTGTGAGGTCTCTTTTGTGCTCATAAATGCGTTTTTTCAAACTTCTACTTGTTTCTCCAATACATTCAATATGGAGAACAATAATCACCCATAGGCTCACCTATCATCTGGTTCATACTGCTTCCAGACTTTTTTGAACAGGAGTAGAGGTTCATCCCTTGTTTCCTGTTTAGGATTGGGTTTCCAGTTCCTTCAACTCTGTACTTCTAATGTCTCCATCTGAAATCTGAAATTTTATTCAGTAAGTATTATTATTATTTTTTTCCTCTCCCAATAAGAGTAGATAGGTTTGCCTATCACCCAGTTTACACTCCACCCCAGTCTTTTAAACAGGAGTAGAGGTTCATCCTTGTTGTTCCTTTTTTCACTTCTAAAGTCTCTGAAATTTTATTCACTAATTAAATTTTGACCACTTCAGTTCTCAAATTAGCTGCATATCTTTTCCTGTATGCTACTCGTTCTTATTCTAATACAACTCCACACAGTAACCCTCTATCTTGAGTGCCTCTTGGCCTTGTATCTGTTGGACATTAGTAAAAAAAAATGTCCTAAAGGCAAAAAGCTTATAGAAGATAGTATATGTGTTAGTATAGAGATATTTACATAGACTGATATGTATGTTTTAGTCCAAATCTTTGATTAGTTGCAGACATGTGCATATTTGTTTTTTCCTTTGTGCTTGAAGGTTTGTATATGTGAATATTTTCTCGACATGTTGATGTTAGGGGTGTAAAAATTGTCAGTTTATTTTGTCTTTCATTTTTGTATTTTTTTTAATCTTGTATTTTCCATATTTTTGTTGTGTGTAATCTTATTCAGAAGCAAACTTTGTATTGAATCAGATTAATAGAGATGGGTGAATTGAAAATGGAGTAAACAAAATTAAGGAATAAAAAGGGTCAGAAGAAAAAAACAAGAAAGATTGAAAAAAAAAAAAAGAAAGGAAAATGAGAGATGAATAAAGAGAAGGCCAAAGATATTTTTTAATATATGGTGAAAATATAAAAATAAGTAAAGGAAGGGAGATAAATCTTGTTGAAAGTAAGAGAGGGGATTGCAAGTAAGAAGTTATTAAAAATGAGAAAAAAATAACTAATGCAGGTAAAGAGAGAAATGGATGAGTCAGGCTAGAAGTAGAAATGAAGATAAATATAACTGAAAAAAATTAAAAGATGAAAGAGAAAAAGAGAAAAATAATGAAGAAAGAAAGAAAGAGTGAGAAAGTAAGAAGCTGAAAATCTGTAATGGAGTAAAATAAAATGAAGAAAAGAAAGAAAAGTAAACTGATAACTGAGAAAGGTTTGGAAAAAGAGAAGACAAACAAAATGGGCATGAGGATCAAAAGAGTATAATGTTAATAAAAAGGAAAAATAGATTAAAAGTAGAGAGAGAAGATAAGATGAGTAATAGATAGAAAAAAGTCAAACAAATTAAAAGATAGAAAATGAAAAAAAATGAGATGTGAAAAATCTAAACGAAAGGGAAAAAATAGCTTATAGACAAGGGAGATAACTGGGGAAAATGGAACATTAAAATAATTTGATTGGAGTGAGCAAAATGATTGAGGTTTAAAAAAAAAAGAAGTGAAAATCGCCAATAGATAGAAATTGGAAGAAAGCAAACAGTTGCTTAGAAAAATAATGAGAAGAAGAGAAAATATTATTGTGTGAAGAAACATGTAAAGAATGCAGTAAAAATAAAAACTGAAGAAACAGCAGAAAGGATAATGGACATTGAATGTAAAAGAAACCCAAAGAGGAAAGTAAAATTGGGATAATGGAGAAGCTTAAGAAGAAGGGATAAATTGAAAGGAAAATAAAAGACTGGTTGCTTCATTGGAGTAGACTCTGATGGAATGTGAAAAGGCTGTTGTTGTAAAGAAATAAGAATTTGATATGTAAAGAAAGAGTAAATAATAATTGTCATGAAAAAGAAAGAATATAGGAAAGGAAGGAAAGAAAGGATTAAGAATGGAAATAAAATTTGAGAAGGTAAAAGAAAAATTTGCAATATAATGTTGGCATATGAAAGAACAAGAAAAATGAAGGAAAACTATTAAATAAAACAAAGAAAAGATTAGTAAAGAATTGAAAGATAGAAAGATGAAGTCACAATAAGAATGAAATAAAAACAAGAACAGGCAGTGAAAAAAGAAAAGAAAAAGAGAAGTAAATAAGTGTTAAAAAGAACCAATGAAAAAAGAGTTAAAGAAAGCTAAAACACTTAAGAGCTGATGTTTTCTTCAGTCTCTGCCATGAAATTATCTCAGATGAAACCTCAGAGTAGAGAAGAATTACGAGCAATAGCAAATGCTTGTTTGAATGTCAGGAGGATTTCAAGGAAGCTGAGTTTGGATGGGTTTGTGAGTGGTGCTTGGTGTGGGTTGGTTAGAACAGAAAATGGCTAACACTTGCTATAGGCTTCTTTGTCCTGCATTTTTTTTTTTCTTCTGTGATGACTTTTCTTCAAGTCACTCTTGTAGAAGTAAAGCAAAATGGACGCTTAACTTTTTTTTGTTTCTTGATAACTCACCAATAGATTCTAATAAGATTTTGGCTCCTTCATCTTTCTTGGCTTCTTTTCTTCTACTTCATTGAAAACAATGAAATTTTAACTAATTCTTCATCTTAGATGAACTTTCTTCATTTTTTTTTCTTCGACTTTATTCAAAATGTTCTTTCTCCTTAAATATTACATTTATTTTCTCTTTCATTTTTTCACTGAAATAAAAAAGAAAATTTTCACTTCATTTTTGTAATTTTTTTTATTGTTTTAGTTTTTTCATTAATTTCAATGATTTTTATCCACTTCAGTCTAATTAGCATTCCAACTAATTTTTAATTTCTTTCTCTATTTATTGATTTTTTAACTCCCTTTTTTATATTTACACCTTCTATGACCTTTCATCTTCCCTTGATTTGAAGCCACATTTTCTTTTCACTCTTGATTTGTCCTCTATTTTCTTTCCCCTTGTCCTCTCCTCTCACTATTTGAACTCTGCTTTCATTTTTTCTCTTTGTTCTCTCTTTTTTCTGTTTTTTGTTCTTTCTTTTTCTCTCTGTCACACTGTACTCTTTTTTTCTCTCTCACTTTCTTTTCTTTTTCTCTCACTTTCCTCTCTTTTTCTCTCTCACTATCATCCCTATTTTCTCTCTCACTGTCCTTTCTTTTTTCTGTTTCCTTGTCCTTTCTTTTTCTCTGTATCTCTTTGTCCTCTCTATATTCTGTCTCGTTTTCCACTCTTTTCTTTATCTTTTTCCCCTCTTCCTCTCTCTTCGTACTCTGCTCTTCTTTCTCCTTGACCACCATTCCTCTCTAAGTTCTTACATTTCCACTTTTTCTGCTTCTCCTTTACTCCTCCTCTTTGAATATTACTTGATATTTTACTAAGCTTACTATGATACAAGTTCAAATTGCTGAGAAAAGAAAAGTGTATAAGACTAATTTTCTGAATGAATTTAGCTTGCCTAGAAAATCAGCATTTGAAATACTAACTGTTACTTGGGTTTCGATATCTACCTCCAGTTGGAAATAGTTAACTATATCAGTCCCTTTAAAGTCTGGCGCACTCTGTCTGGATTCAATTTACTACAGTTCATTCAGTGAACTTCATTGTAAGATGATTTAATTGATCTTATATCTTTCAATTTAGTTCTGTCTTTATCCTAAATTCTCTTTTCTTCTCCAATATCATCTATCTCTCCTAAATACTTTTATCTCCTGATAGAAAACATATTGTTTCTTACCTGTTCATTAATGTTGTTTCTTTTCTTCCCTCATTAACATTTTTTCATTCAACTGATTCCTTATTTATTTTACACTATCATTCTTCTATTTTATCTAATTTTGAATTTTGCCTCCAAAACTGAGTTTTACAATTGTAATTAAATTGTTTTTTCCATTTTCATTATTTTATTATTTTTCATTCTTACTAATTGTCTCTTTTTTAGTCTTCAGTGTACTCCTTGACCTTCATTTATATTCCCTTTCTTAGAAACTCTTTACCCTATTCTTTTATTTTCAGTTCTTCTTTGCTTCTGTACTCTTCCTCTTTTACACAGGTTTCCTTCTTCTCTTTCCTTTACATCTTCTCTCCTCCAGCTCCTACATCTTTTCTCCTCCAGCTCCTACATCTTCTCTCCTCCAGCTCCTACATCTTCTCTCCTCCAGCTCCTACATCTTCTCTCCTCCAGCTTCTACATCTTCTCTCCTCCAGCTCTTACATCTTTTCTCCTCCACCACCTACATCTTCTCTTTTTGTCTTTGACATCTTCTCTTCTTTTATGTTTTCTCTTCTTATTTTCATCTACTCCACTTATTAAATCTTCTTTTCTCCTCCTCTTTTTATGTCTTCTCTTTTCTCACCTTCTCCTGTCATTCTTCTTCTTCTTCACCTTTTATCTCTTCAATTATCCCTATCTTTTTACCTCTCCTCTTCCCCTCATCTTTTTACCTCTCCTCTTCCCCTCATCTTTTTTACCTCTCCTCTTCCCCTCATCTTTTTACCTCTTCTCTTCTCATCTTTTTACCTCTTCTCTTCCCCTCATCTTTTTACCTCTTCTCTTCCCCTCATCTTTTTACCTCTTCTCTTCCCCTCATCTTTTTACCTCTTCTCTTCCCCTCATCTTTTTACCTCTCCTCTTCCCCTCATCTTTTTACCTCTTCTCTTCTTCTCATCTTTTTACCTCTCCTCCTCCCCTCATCTTTTTACCTCTCCTCTTCTTCTCATCTTTTTACCTCTCCTCTTCTTCTCATCTTTTTACCTCTCCTCTTCTTCTCATCTTTTTACCTCTCCTCTTCTCTTCCCCTCATCTTTTTACCTCTCCTCTTCCCCTCATCTTTTTACCTCTCCTCTTCTTCTCATCTTTTTACCTCTCTTCTTCTCATCTTTTACCTCTCCTCTTCTTCTCATCTTTTACCTCTCCTCTTCTTCTCATCTTTTACCTCTCCTCTTCTCTTCCCCTCATCTTTTACCTCTCCTCTTCCCCTCATCTTTTTACCTCTCTCTTCTTCTCATCTTTTACCTCTCCTCTTCTTCTCATTTTTACCTCTCCTCTTCTTCTCATCTTTTTTACCTCTCCTCTTCTTCTCATCTTTTTACCTCTCCTCTTCTTCTCATCTTTTTACCTCTCCTCTTCTTCTCATCTTTTTACCTCTTCTCTTCCCCTCATATTTTTACCTCTTCTCTTCCCCTCATATTTTTATCTCTTCTTTTCCCCTCATCTTTTTACCTCTTCTCATCCCCTCATCTTTTTACCTCTCCTCTTCTCATCTTTTTACCTCTTCTCTTCCCCTCATCTTTTTACCTCTTCTCTTCCCCTCATCTTTTTACCTCTTCTCCGTTCCTTATCTTTTTGTCTCCTCTTTTCATCTTTTTACCACTTCCAATCTCATTTTTTTTTACTTCTGTTCTCCTCTTTGTACATTTTCTCTTCTCCTCCTTTTAGTACATCTTCTCTCCTCCTCATCTTTTTGTATCTTCTTCACCTCTTCTTACAGCTTTTCTTCTCTCTTCCAGCTTTTGCATCTTCTCTTCTTCCTTTTACCTCTTCTCTTCCTTTTATAATTCTTATCCCCTTAACTTTCCTTCTATATACTTCCTCATTCTTTTTTTTGATTTATTTTTATATTTTCACACCATTGTCATCCTCTTTTTATATTTCCAGTCATCCTGTCATTCACTTACTCTTCCTCCAATTCTTTGTTTAACATCATCTCTTGTACGAGCAGTCATCCATCTAAACACATTCTGCAACACTGTAGATAAGCTCTTAAATCTTTGGAAAATACTGATTATTCACAAAAGTGAAACCATGAAACACGCAATAGCTATACACATGTCTTTTGAAAGGTATGAACTCACTTCCTTAATTTCTGCAAGCTTTTGATCTACAAGATCACTAAAGATCACCCCAACCATATACAACAAAACAGAAACTGTTATAAAACTCATATATGTGTGTGTGTGTGTGTGTGTGTGTATATATATATATATATATATATATATTTTCATTCTTTTTTCCCCTTCGGGTTTCCCCTATTTAAAAAGGAAACAAAAATGGACTAATACCCTTCTGTATAAAAGCTTTTTTTTAAAAAATCTTTCATACATTTGTTCTTTTTCGTTTTCATTTACATTCAATTTCCCTATTCTTCAGGTGAGTATCAGAATGTCTATTTTTTTCTTTCCTGAGAGATGTTAAATATAGCTATTATGTTCTTTTTTACTTTTACTTTTGTTACTTTGGATTTTTTTTTTCTCTGAGGTATTCAAATATTCTTAACAGTTGACCATTCCATACCCAGTAAAGTTGGACATTTGTTTACTTCTTTGCCTTGTCACGTTTCTTGAACACTCAAAGACCTCCTGGTTATTCTTTAAAGGTGCCATACCTTATCCTGCAATATAAAATGCAAACCAGATCCCATTGTGCTAAATTTTATACACTATTCAAAAGACTATTTTATCTTTGAATGAATGAACTTAAAGTATAAAACCTAAAAATGATAGTGGCCATTTTCTTTTCACCTGTGATGTGCACATAACCATAGTAGCATATGAAGAGGCTTAGAGGGGATCTTTTGTGATATTTACGAGGGTAAATTTTTCTTGGGGTTTTCACAAACAGTGTTTTTTTTCCCCAAAAAATATTCCAAATATATAATTTTAAGATTCTCTCAAAAGAGGTTACCACAAAAATATCTCTAGGATAAGAGCAAACAATGAAACCATATTTGAACCTCAAACATTGAGAATAAATGAAATAATTATTTAAATCACATATGCAGGCTCTCCAGATCTTGTAACAAAACACACTGAACTTAGAAATTGAGTTGTGAGTTCAATACCTGACCAGAGTAGATGCGAACAAAAACTTGGAAAGTTGAGTTACTAAAGGGAAATAACTGAAACTGAGATATCCAGAAAAGGCATGGCATGTGGAACTAGAACAATCTACCACAGTGGATGAAATTAAGGGTTTGTTTCAAAATTTCAATATATATCAGCTGAAGGTGGCAGGGAGCATACAACAGCTGAAACACTGAGAATATGAAAATAAAGATGAGGATAATAGTCTTTACAATTTAAATAGCAAGGACCTACTGAATTTTAGAGAATATTAGGACAAAAAGACATTATTTAGGTGAGAGAACAATAAAAGGTTAATATCTTCATGGGTTTGGCAAAATCTAAAATTTATAGATTTTTTTTTTACCAATGTCTAGCTGGGGCTGACGAAATCTAAAATTTATGGATATTTGTTTTTGTTATGAAAGCTACAGTTACAGGACCAATGTATATTGACTTGATACAGAAATTCCTTCAAACTCAAATGGTTCTTCTTTATTCTACCATATCTCTTCAAGATGTGGGTTATCATAGATCTCCACAACTGAATGGGTTCTTTATAGAATTAGATTTGGAGAGGTTTACTCCTCTTGAAACCTTTTCCATATATTAAAACATTCAACTGTTTTATCACAATTCTTCATACCAGCTATTTTTACTGTAACAACTTGATCACGTTCAGTTTGATTGATTTGGTTTGATTTGTTTTGTTTTACAGCATATCAACCTCAATGAGTTATTTCATGCTGACAAGATTTTTATTGCTGGTAATATATTTTTTCAAAATTTTATTGCTGGTAATTTTTTTTTCCAAAATGTATTGCTGGTAATTTTTTTTTTTCAACATTATATTGATGTTAATATTCTTTTTTCAAAAATGTATTGCTGGTAAAATTTTTTCCAAAAAGTATTGATGGTATTAATACATACTTTTATACTTTCATAGTGTTTTGACCCCTTTTGGTCATTAACTATTTGCCCATATCTTGGACCCTGACAGGTGCTACCACCCCAGGTCAAGGTGGACCTGGGAACACCAACAATTATGAGGTGGTTCTACCCTCCTCAAAATCTTCTGATTAAAGCCTTGCTGTCAGATGTTGTTTATCATCATACCCAGGATGGCATTTAGTTTGAGCCACCATATTTAATTAAACTGTAAACAAAAAACAAAAGAATGTCAGGAAGCCTTAAGCAGAATTTGAAACTATTTTTTATGTTTAAATAATGGGTAAATTTTTGTTTTTAAATAATAGGTAAATATTTATGCCATATCAGGGAAAAAGGGTCTTTGTAATAACACTGTATTTCAACAGAGTACTAAAATTTACATATGTATTTCATACACTAAATGTAGCATCTGTTATGGAGCAGAGGTAGTATAATTTGTATATGTATTTATTAAGTACTACGTTTTGCTGTGGTTTAAAGTCAACTTGTTATAAGGATTTTGTGGTTAAGAGTTGTACAATATTTCAAGATTCTATTGAGGCTGTAATTGAAAATAATGGAAGCTACCTTGAATAGACTACTCATTTTGACATTATCTCTAAATTATATTAAAATCCTTTTGTATTAATAGGCCTGTTTATGCATCATAAATGAGTTTCAAAGGATGTGACAATTTTTAACGTTTAGGTTCTCCATCCTGTATATGAGGGTATGTCTGGATAATAATTTTTCTTTTGAAAAGAACTACTTGGAAAAACAGTCTCAAGCAAATTTATAACACATACACAGAAACTCTCCCATCAGGTTACTCAGTCACTAGTCAGGTGCCACTGATTGGGTTCATGTACTATGTTAGTTGCATTCACTATATTTGAGCAAAGTCTCCTCAAAGGATTTGGAGCAATACATTATATCATCTATGCCAGTCAAGCTTTCAGTAGTTCAGATAGGACTTCCTGTGACTTCTTGCTATTGTTGTTGAAAGGGAGATTTCAGATTGTGCATGACATTAAAAAGTAACAAAATAGCTGATTGCAAAACATCACATCATTTATGCCTATCCACTTCCCTATAGTCCATTTAGCTACCTGGGAATTTGGACTACTGCTGTTGAAAAAGGAAGTGGTTTCAGACTATGTATGAAACAGCTGATGGCAATCCTGAAAGAAATTTTTGCAGTTTTGGAAAGTGTAAAGGTTGCTGACATAAGTGTACAAGAAGAGTAGTTTGAAGAGGACTATGGTGCCATTGTACTTGGCAGCCCTCTTTTCCAAATAATTATTTTCAGGTAAATTCTTTTTCAGTAGACTCGGCCTTATAATGAAAACTTTATCAAAGTGAATTTCCATTATTATTAGTTTTTCATAGATACATTGTGCTAGAATCCATTTCAACATGACTTTCCATCTACTTTGAATATTAAATCATTTTGCTTCTAAATTCAGAACCTTGCCTCTAACATGAACCTCTTTAGATTGTATCAGTTTTTTCTTTTTCATACTTTTTTCCTCTACTGTCCTTTTTATTCCTCCAATCTCATTTTTAATCAACTTACTCTCCTTTTTCTTCTTCTTCTTCTTCTTACTCTCCTTTTTATTCCTTTTACACTCCTTTTTGTTCTTACTCTCCTTTTTCTTCCTCTACTTTCCTTCCCGTCATCAGTAATTGCTCTTCTCTTTTTATTCTTTTCTCTTAGAAAGTGTGAATCAGTCTATGTTTTAAATAACAAATATGATCAATGACTGTAGTCTTCAAATCTAAAAATCTTAGTGTGTATATATATATATATATATATATATATATATATATATATATATATATATATATCCAGGTAAGATGAGAACTAATAGAGTACAATTCCAACATTTATAACATTTAATTTAAAAGAGGGCTCAATACAAAGTAGAGCAATATTATTTATATTTTAGGATATTACATCAAAAACACTACACAATTGCAATCAGGTTTTGATGCATCTCATCAGGCACATTGTAACTTATTGGCGAGTGAATGATTTATTTAGATTTAAAACAAAATACAACCTCTTCTTAAGAAAAAAGAAAAAAAAGTGGGGTTATAAGGTGTGTGGGCTTTACTCTGAGCAATCAAATATGACCTATGTTAAATTTAAACTAAGTGAAGAAGCAAAAATTAAAAATTATTTTTTATAAATGGGTCATGACCCATAGAGTGATAATGAAAGCAAGTTGGGAAGAACAATGTTTTCTTAGACCCTGAAGGGGAATGACACACACAGTGTGTTAAATAAAAGTCCTCCATCCTTCTTCTCTTCACACAGTTTGAGCTGTAAACATATTCTGCTGATATCGCAGAATGTAAATTCTCTTCCAATTCTACACTTGACTTATCTGAAGCATCTTTGCCTGACCTTCCCTTTAGAACTGGGTCTCTTTTGAGTGTGTTGAAGCATACTTAAGGACGATAATAGGTATGTCACCATTCACATAAATACATTAGTAAATACTGTATGTTGGTCTGCAGTTGGCGATTCGTTGTGGAATTCACTTGACTCACTTCTAGCAGTTGACTACTACTTCTACATGCTGCTGGTGAATCTTATATGTGTTGTTCTTGTCCTAAGTATTATCGCTCATTACCAACCTTTGTTTGATTATTCCATGCAGTAACCTTCCCTAGGATACAACAGAGTGATATGCATATAACTCCCTCTATGGTTACTGATATCATCTCTAAACTGGATCCCCATAAAGCATGTAGACCTGATAGCATCTCAGTAATAATCCTTAAGAAATGTGCTCCTGAACTGACTCCTGTTCTCTCTAAACTGTACAATAAATGCTTTGCTGCTTCTTGCTTTCCTGCTTGTTGGAAATTCTTTTCTATAGTTCCAGTTTTTAAGAACTCTGGTGAACCATTTGATACTTCT